TCCCAACCCACTCTCTCAACCCGCGAGTATACGTTCAGATTCACCCTCTCAACCCCGAGGAAACCGACATACGCATCCGATCTTATTCGATCTCTCTAATCCTCTCAATCGTCTATCCGGGTGTACCTGATTGAAGCATTCGGATAGTGGCGTTCATCCATCAAGTCTTGAACCGTTCTTCTCGTCGTCGGACCGAAGACTTTGAATTCGTTTCCAAAGTCTTTGCTTTCTTTTTTCTTTTACCTTGTTGTGCTTGTTTCTCTCTCGAGTTCGAGCCATCCGCGATTTTCCCGGTGTTTATTTTGCATACCCCGTCCTTGGTATCTTGGGTGGCGTCGGCGTTTCGTTGGACAGTAGGAAGACTTTACGACTTGACGGCTCCAACACACCCACGGCTTACATCGGTGTTCTCCCTCCTTCTTGCTCTCAGTTGCTTCTCTGGTTAAGATAACTGGTTGCATCGAATTTGTGTTTGGGTGTCGATTGAAGGATCCAAGCCAAACCCACCTCGAGGCTATCGACAACAGAGCCTTGTCACTGTTCGACACAACGATCGGCATCTCCCCTCTCTACAGTTCCAGCAACCTGGGCATTCTAGCAACCCGGCCGTCCAAGATCTACGGAAACCTCCAAACCTCGGAACTGAGAGTGTACTTAGGCCAATCAGGCCAGTGCCAAAGACAAAGTCGACAATTGGGTCGCCATAGCCCCAATTTCAGATCGAAACCCTTCTCTGCCCTTCTCTCCTCAACCTGTTCGGCCAAGATATACGGCCACTCGAAATCCCTGAAGAAAAGTTTGAGCCAGAGACCTGAGGTTCCCTCGTGAACTTTGGCTAGTGAGAACCCGGTCAGGTTCTCGATCGACATCACGGCCAGCTTCAAGGTGGTCGTTCAGGGCAGAGTTTGCTATCTCCGATGAGTACCACGGTTTCTACGGTTGATTCCGCACTCGCCAAACTCAATTTCCTCCCGTAACACCCACCCTTGATCTTCTTTCTGGGATTCCAAGAGGGTTCCCGGTACCTTGACTGTCACCGAGGGCGCCCAAGAGGGTTCCCGGCACCTTAGCTATCACGAACATACTTCAAGTATTCTTCGGATACAGATAACTTGCTCAGAGACACCATACAGGTTCCCATCGTCGTCTTCATCTCCGGCACTATAAGATGGACTCCCCAATCTCTTCTCTGCAGTCCTCGGACGTAGCAGAAACATCTCACTCATCTTCTTCATCTCCTACACAACCACCTACTTCCTTGGGAGATTTTAGCAAGTTGTTTGAGAATCTGCGAGTCCACGAGACTTCTACTTCATCTACACGTATTCTCTCTTCGCCAGACAGAGACTACTCTTCTTCTTTACATTGCTTTGAGCCTCTTTGCAAGTCAGAGAGCACCTCAAGCAAACAGTCTCAGCCACTTCTTCTCCTCCCTCTTATATTCACCACAGAAGAAATGGCCAGAACTGGCACCAAGCGCAACTACCAGAGTTTGGACTTGGCCGAGGCCAAAAGGCCAAAGGTCGACTCCAAGGACAAGAAGCCTGTCGTCGCTGCCGCCGCCGCCACCGTCGCTGTCGGAGTGGTAGCTCGGGCCTCTTCAGACTCGGGCTACCATTCCGACTCGTCCGCCGCCGCCAACGACAACGACAACGCGGGAGAAAGGCTCTTCAACAAGCAGACTGCAAAGAGACCTCCTCCCAGCTCACAGCTCCCCTTGGCCGCCCGTCTGCAGCAGCGCTTCGGCGCTCGCGACGAGTCCATGGCCTTGGCTTACCCGGAGCAGTGCGGCCGCGGTCTGTACATCTACGCCGACGGCTCCAACATCTCCGTGTCCTTCTTCAATGACTTGAAGAAGCGTATGGGCATGTCTAGAGACCAGCGCCTCTCATCCACCGCCTTCTCCTTCTACGCATTCAGGGGAATACTCGAACGAGGCAGAGAGGTTAAGGAGGGCGTGATCGTCGGATCCCGCAACAACAAGGCCGGGAACAACAGGTCCTCCTCCTCCACCTCCTCCATCCCCCTGTACCTGCAGGAGGCTGAGGCGTGTGATTACACCGCCAAGGTCCTCCAGCGGGTACCCGCAGACACTTCGTCTGCGGGCTCCTTCGCGATGAAGGAGCAGGGGGTCGACGAGACGGTCCAGCACCACATGCGCAAGGCCGTCCTCGACAACCTCGGTGCCCCCGGCGTCATGATCCTCGCTACGGGCGACGGCAATCTTGATGGCGACATGGAGGGAGGGTTCCCCGCCGCCGTGCAGTCCGCTCTCGCGAACGGCTGGGTCGTCGAGGTCTACCACTTCGCCGAGTCCGCCCACTCCACCTGGCGCGATCCGCGATTCCTCCACAACCCGGAATGGGACGGTCGCCTTACATGTCATGCTCTTGACGACTTCGTCTTTGACATGGACGCAAAGCAGCACCAGCCCGCCACCCCGATCGGGGAAGTACCTCGCACAGTGAAGAGGACCAGACGCGAGAGCCGGCCAGCTTACGTGCCGTCTTGGACCCTGCCCCCTACACAACAGGCAGCCTCCGTCTCTCTTCCCCCGGCCGCAGCGGCAGCAGTCACTCCCCCGCCCAGTCCCCCTCTGGAGATGGCACCCGCGACTCCAGAGGAGTTGGCTCAGGCCGGGCAGATAGCCGAGTTGGTGGGCAAGATCAAGCCGGAGTTGATACCCGTCATCGCCGCCTCCCTCCTTCGCGCCGCCTCGACCACTCCTCCTCCTACTGCTCCCACTCCCGCTCCCGCTCCCGCGCGTATTCCTTCCGTATCGCGTGGGGACGCCAATGGCTTCGCCGGCGGTGCAATGGGCTACTTCGGAGCCCAGCTCCCTTCCCCGCCCGCCGTCTCCGCTGCCGCCTTCCCCCAGCCCTACCCTCTCCAGTACCCCCAAGCCACCTCCTACACGGCGACCTTGGGCCAGTACCAGTACAACGGGGTCTGGGGGAACCAGGTGGGCTACTACGGGCACACCGGCTAAGTCTTCGTGACCACCCCTTTTTAAACCCCCCTCTTCTCTTCTTTTCTCTTCCCCTTCTTTAAACCCTTTATTGGTAGTATCGTCCTGGGTTTGCTTAGCTGAAAGGCAGCAACTAGACAGATTTACAGCTTTGGGGAAAGAGGGGCAAGACCGGTATATGGGAGGGATTCGCAGGCCTGAAAGACGGCTCTGGCCCCGTGGATATTTGGAATGGTATACGGGAGGGGTACGCAGGCCTGAAAGACGGTTTTGGCCTCGAGGATTCTTTGGGTCGCCTTCGGGCACATTTTTTTGGCCTTCGGGCAAGCCTTCGGGCAATTTAACTCAGATATATGGGAGGGGCAGCAGGCCTGAAAGACGGCCTGGCCCCGGGGATTTATGGGATTGGTATATGAGAGGGGAATAGGTGCCTGAGATATGGCCCTGTTCCCCGTGGATTTGGGGAGGGAGAAGTGGGCAGGTTGGGAGTTTTTTGAACGCGATACTTTGGTATGACGTTTTTCTCCCTGTGCTGGTGAGCATAAAATGCGCTGGCGGGCATAAGATGCCTTTCTTTAAGCGTTGTTTTGTAAATACATTTTGTTCGTTGATACTTGACTGTTCTGTGTTTCTGTGTGATTGATATTGATTCATTGTACGCCAAAGAACCCATACAATACACGGGGCATGAGGTTGACTGCCTCATTGTTTCACGAACTGACTACATGCCTTGAACTTGGCTATGCTCCCTTCCGATGTCTCTAGTGATCTAAATGCCTCTCTTCTTCTGTTTATTCAGGATCTTGTGCCATCTCCTAGAGAGCTTTGAAATCAAATCTGCCCAACGCCGAATGTAAGAACATTTTCACGCCAACAACGGAAGTAGGCCATCTTCCATTTGGGGAACAACATATCCTCCTTCTTATTGACATCGTATTTCCATGTGCCAGTAGCTAGCGACGACTCAGCTATGAGCGCAGGTCAGCACATCTATCATCGGCCATGGCTCGTCTCTTATTCTTTACCACTTTGCCCACAATCTCAGAGAAGCATCCTCAATCATGGTGGACACACTCAAGGCAACATCCGCATAGCCAGACAAACATGTCTATTAAGCCGAAAAGAGAGAATCGAAGGTTGGCAGCGATAGGACCGTCACTAAAGACCACAGCTCAGACCAACCTGTAAATCAATATACTTCCCTCATGTCTAAGACCGTGGCGATGACTCGCATCAGTACCACGGGACTACCATCTACCATATCTGAAACATAGGCCAGCATCGAGATTGTTAACAGATGGCGTTTTTAGTTCGAATCAAGAGTATTTGATTCCCATTGTGTTCGGGAAAGGTTCGGGGAACGTTGGTTGGTGACGTCTACTAGTCCTTTACGGGGTTTGGCATCGTGAAGTCCTCGCTTGCGGTTTGCAACTACACGAACGAAAAAGATCCAGCAAATCAAGAAATCCTATGACAATGTTGTGAATAAGGCCTCTCAGTGAGCATAAGTGCCACGGACTTATTCAGGACTCAGGGTTTCAAGGAACGATGAGCCGCCATCGTTGAGGTTGAAGTTATACTGTTCGCACGTTTATGATAGTCTCAAGATACCCATAAACAAGCGCCTCGCGCAATCTGAAAAAGAGATGTTGTTTCTTTTCTCCAATCATAAACAGCATCAAAGAGCTAGTTGTTCATGTCATAGGCGAAAATTGCCATTGACGGCAATAGGCGAGATGACTAAGTTCATTGAGAAAGGAAATCTACATGTCTCCGATGCTTGGAAAAATGTCCGCCGTTCAATTTTGGGCACAACCCCATCCTAGCGTTGCGCATACTTCCTTCCAGCCTAGGCGGACACGGTCAATAACCCGAAGTCCCGTCTTTGCGATCGCATGAACAAATGCCATACTTCGGAGACTTTTCCATCGATTCGTGAGGTTCGTCCGGTCTGTAGTTACGCCGGTGCGGGACACTACAACTATGCATTTTTTTTGAGTTTCGGCGACTAACGCCTCTTATCCCCGGACCCCCTACCCCTTCCCTCCCCGGCCGATATTTCCCTTCTCGGCGCCGTTTGTAATGTCCAAGTGCCGCTCCGCAAGCTCCACATCACCTTCCGCTGCGGTGATCTTCCCTTCGATTACATGCCATGTAATTTGTTCAGCGGACTTTCAAGATGTGTACCCTAGGAGACGATAGAAGGAGCGGCTCGTTGAGCTGCCTCAAAATAAACCCAGAAGAGCGATTCTTATAAATGACATTGTTAGGCCACGGCTCTTCTCTCAAGTTTCACCAATCACTTCTAACATTCATCACACTCGTAACTCTCAAAACTACATCAACCAAAGATTCCAAGATCGCCCAAGATGTCTTCAACTCCAGCTACGCAAGAACCTTGGTCGCTCGCCGGCAAGACAGCCATCGTCACCGGAGCGTCTCGCGGCATCGGACAAGCCATCGCCATCCACTTAGCCCGCAAGGGTCTCTCCAAGTTGGCAATCACATACGCCAGCAACTCTGACGCGGCACAAAAGACTCTAGACGAGTGCCGCAAACTCGGGGTAGAAACCGCCATCGCCATCCAAGCAGACGCACTCGACCCTACCTTTGGTCCCAAAATCGTCTCCCAAACGCTCCAGCAGCTTTCCACCACCTCCATCGACATCCTCGTCAACAACGCGGTCCTGAGCGACTACTCCAAGGTGGAGCCCATCAAGGACACGACGCTTCCCGTCTTCCTTCAAGTCATGCAGGCCAACGTGTTCGCCCCCATCTCCCTGACGACCGCCGCCATACCTCACTTGCCCTCTCAGGGCGGCGGGCGCGTCATTGCCATCTCGAGCGTGCTGGCGTACCAGGCCAACTCGGATCCTACCATGACGTACGGGGCCAGCAAGGCCGCCTTCCAGAGCTACACGCGCTCTCTCGCCGAGGCGTTTGGCAAGACCACCAAGGCGACGTTTAACAGCGTCATTGTCGGTCTGACGGCGACGGACTCAATCAAGAATAGTCAGGACTTGTTGCCTGCAGGGTATCTCGACGGGCAGATTCGAGACACGACGGCGGCGGACCGGATTGGGGTTCCCGAAGACATTGCGTACGTCGTCGGGTTCCTTGCTAGCGAGGAGGGGCGCTGGGTCAACGGGGCTGCTGTTAGTGCCAACGGAGGCAATCGTCTTGTTATGGCTGCTCTCGGGTGAATGGGTTTTATTTGATTGGGAAGCTATTCAGACCACGACACTACTATGACTTTTATGGGTACCTCTTGTAGAAAGAATTGCATATAGAAAATAAATCTTCTTTCAAAGCCAATGAGCGACATTTGGAATGGTCTCTCACGGGGGCCGGCCCTTGAACAGCAGCCTAGGTCTTTGGGGGGTTCCTTTCCCTCACGCGGGACCAAGAGGGGCCGGGTGTGGAGGGTTGGCTAGAAGCCGAGGCTGTGTAATATGGCTTCGCGAGACCCGGGCTACCTGTGTTTTTCGCTTAACGCTATAAATCATTCGCAGGTTTTGTTTGACTAAGAGGCGCAGAACCGGAGGTTGATTTTTGAAAGGGAGGACCAGAACAGCACTGTGTCGTAGTTCAGTTGACCGTAATTTGGTATGGCACAGGCGGTTCACATAGCGAGCTATCTCGATGCGGATCGATGGTAATACCATTTCAAAATGAGGACTTGCCCTCTCAGCATGAGGGAAAGTAGCGTGATGTACTATGTGTTTGCAACTCCTCACTGTAGCGGAGAACGATGACTCGAATGCGGCTGGGTCTTGACCGAGGTAAAGATGAACAATAGCAGACGAGAAAAGGATAAAAGACCAGATGGGTGGACTGTCCGCCACATGTCGGAAGCAAAAGGCAGGTACGGCCAGACATAAGAGTATTCCGTCACTACCTAGTATATACCTATATATACCCCTCCAACCTCGTTCCTGTCACCAGTCAGCAGGCGCCCGTTTAGGTCGACGGGTCAGGTCAAACCGGCTGGGTGGTGGAGTGGTCTAAAGTCAACAATCAATCACGCCTACAGCCTACTCGACGACAGGTTACGGGTTCGAGTTCGATTCCCAGAAAGTGCACCAAGAGATGTAGCCACATCGGTGGTGAACTCTTTTTTTGTCTTTTCGTAACTTGAGATGCTTTATGTGATTATTCGTAGGTATGTACAGAGCGAGCGTCAACGGCGAAACATTGTTTCCTACTCAAACCATACTATATGCCGAATATTCAGAATCGTAAGAGACTAATATTTTGAAGAATGGTGGCAGAGGAAAGGGCACCTTAGAATTCTTAACTTGAGGCGGTTGTGCTACTGAAGAATCCGAGTCCACCTGCCTTTCGTTCCGTCCTTGATCCCTACGTTTGCGGCGTCACTAATTTGCGCCGTGCAAGCCTGTATCGCCCTTTGCCCGCTAAGGGGGCCGAAACTCAGATTCAAGCTGACACTTAAAGTAGGTAGCTTGAGGCAATCCAATCAAAGTATCATGAATGACCGAAGTCTTATGCCCTGATATAATCAAGTCTCGGGTTCGGACTTGGGGGTTGTGGTTGAGGATCGGAACAGGGGCGGATGGCTTGCGGGGCCGGACCGTCGAGTTGCGCTTGGCCATTGCCGAGACTTTGCTTAAATGTGTGCTCCATTGGCTATTTGTGCCTCAAGTTGGTGCTCACGGCCCTGCACCTTGCCCTAGAACTTTGTCTTGCTTCAAAAAGTGTCATCAAATCTTCAGCGTATGTGTGGTATTTTATGCGTATGGCGGGGATGGCGGCTTGCCAACCGCACCCCCAAGGGGAATATCAGGCCTCAACACATGCTTCAGAAGCCAGTCGTTGTACTCGTGGCTCATGCCCGAAGACAGAATCGGGTACCAGTGTATCCGGAACGAGGAAAGCGCTTCTGGTCCATGGTGCTCAAATAGTCCAGGTTGGCCACATCCACCACCAGGCTCTCACACTCCCCGGACGTCCTGTCGCCCATCAGGTTATTAGTCCGCGAGATGTCCTGCCGTGACCCCATCAGCCACGGGTGCAGCGTTGAGACGTAGTCGTGGATCGTGGTGTATTCCTTGTTGAACGCCTCGATAACGAGAGGCAGGCCTCGTTTTGACCGGTCAGTGTCGCAGCAGTACGAGAGCTCTCCATCGTCGTTTTCATCGTCTTGTTCTTCTCCTTTGCTGCTGCTGCCCTCTGAATGGTAAACGTCGTCGTCGCCCGGCAGCTCTCCATAGATACAGTCGTCATCGTCAGGACTGGCGTGCTGCTCATGCCACTTGATCCATCCCCGCTGCCAGCGCTCCAAAACGTCGACATGTAAGCTAATAGACTCGATTCTGGGTTCGGAGAGCGGCTGCTGTGAGATGGTGTGCCAGGCAATGTTGCCTGCGAGGTCCTCACGGATGGCCAAGGGTTCGCGCGGCGGGTCCTGGGCGTCCCAGCTCCGGACGACGAAGATGTTCTTGGCCAACCGAGCCTCGGAGCCTCCATAGGAGACTGAGTGCCTCGGGGGTTGGAGAATGACTTGACATAACGGGTGCGGTGTGTGTGAGAAGCATGTCAGGTAAAATTGAAAGAGTTGTTCACCTGCTGCGCCGCATATATCTCGTATAAACCATTTAATTGCTTATAAGGGTTCAAATCTAGAAACATAGTTACGATATACTCACGCTATTTGATGCATTTCTAGCATCCACACCATACTGAAAACGAAGGTAGGTCATTGTCCATAGTCCTCGGAGGGAATGATAACAGCAAAACATGGCTCCTTGACATTTAGTACGGCACGCCAAACTCAGAGCCTCGAAAACAGATGAGTATTCCTAGGAGAATTCAAGCAGGAAGCTTGGATCGCGGCAACACCTTGAAATAGATGGACGGAGAGGCGGAGCTCATGAAGCAGAGCTTCCTTCGACATGGATGGAGGGGCCCCCCCAGTTTGGGTGTAGGATCGCGCTTGCGGCGTCTATTTCTTCGCCAGTGCGCGCTTCCATCGCGCTTCGCCTTCCCGGAGAGAGGCCGACAAACACTGAAAATAAGTGTTCTTGGATTAAGGTGATCCTAGCCAGGCTGCTGAGAAAGTCAAGGCAGAGGGCAGAAGGCCGCTCGATATCGGGGTCGGACTCGGGGGCTGCGGTTGAGGATCGGGGCAGAGACGGAAGGGGTGCGTTGTTGGTGGAGACCGCACTTACATAATATTGCCATCAAATTGGGATTCTGGGATGGGAGAATAAAAATAGCAGTCCAAGCCACACCTTGCGGCGCTTCCCGAGTGGGACGTGGCGAAAGCTGGCACGTGGCTTGGGGGAAAGAGGTGTGGCTCATGCACAGCTTACATAACACTCGCAATACTCTGTCAAAGAGAGCATTCGGGGCATACGAAGTTACGAACACATCAGCATTGGAATGAGTGAATGGCAGATGGATCATGGATACCCGTACCTCGGTGATGACTGACGAACCACTCGGACATTTCGGCAGACCAGGGCAGCTGCCCGGGAGACAAATTATAATTCCCCGAGTTGAAATGAGGCATGCTCTCAATATGATTATCCCGTATTACCGGGCCCGCGGTTCCTCTAGCTGCCCCGTATGGTCCCCAGCTTTCCAATTGGCTTCTTCGTACTCGTTTTCTCCAAGCTCGTTCCTGCTTGTTTGAACTTTGGGATACTTATACCTAGCTTTCAGGCAGTGCCAGAGTGAGCTATGAATGCTGTGCGATATTTTCGGTCATAAGTACCCGTACAAAGATTGATGGCTATGTAGGAATCTTGGAAGAAGTTTGGATCTTTTGGGTGCTGACCGGGTTCCACTCATGGAAGTCAGATTCGAAGATTCCATCATGCGTCACCTCCCTGCCGTGCCTGTCCTTCCAAGCCTTCTTCGACTGACCGCTTCCCGTGTGACCTGGCGATGGCGTTTTCCCCGTAACAAAGAGCATGGGCAGAAATGCTGATCAAGGGACGGTCGGTGATTCGGCACATTGCAAAACACATTGGCTGCAGCTGTTGAGGCAATTTCACACCACAACGGCAAGGGATCTTCATCTCCCCGTGCCCCCCTCATCTTTGGAAAAGGTTCAGTCGAAACACTTTTCTTGATGGCGGTTGAGCGGTACCGGGAAATTTTTATATGGCTGCCTGATTGATGAACGAGATGCGGTTCCACGCGACCAGTGGAACAGATGGGGAGTCTGGATCAGGTACCTTGAACCACAAAGAGTCAATTCCCTCCAAGGCCCAATCATATCCGTCGACAAGGTCACGGCCGGGGGGTTGTATACCCAAGATGCAAAAGCGATGATTGGCAGCTGTCGGTGGAGGGGCTGATCGGCGGACTCAAACTGGAGACCCTTGGCAAGCATGGGCAGCAGTATGGAGACGGGACGGGGGGCGAATGTCACCATCGGGACGCCCGAACTAGTCGGGCCACACGGCCGGTCGCAACCCTTTTCACTTGGGTAGGTACTCTCACTTGGTGCAACTTGTCAGTAGGTTGGATTTGTGAGTGGCTCGCTTCGTTGTCTTGCGCTTGTGGTGGACAGCAGTGTTGTTCAGCGCGTGCTTGTCAAGGACGCGGATCAGAGATCTGATGTGACACGGAGGGAGGCCGTGAGGGCACGTATGGGGGGATGGGGGCGAAGATCGACTGTAAATCATCAGCCGGCAGCTTTTAGCTGAGCTGGAGTTTTGAGGATTGTGTAAAAGGGGGTCTCTTGTTCTTATTTTACGTTGGTTTTTGAGGCGTTCAAGTGGCAAGATGAGTGAACACCAACACCAAATGAGAAGAGGCTACTCGCTGTGCATGATTTACGGCAATCTTGGCTAGGCAGCGAGCTGTAAAACCCCCATTATCCAAAGAGAGATGTTGATAGCACTGAGACCGAGAGAATAGTGTCGTGGAGTGGCACTTGGATGTATGTCGAGGCCGCAGAAGAAATGATCAAAACGCAGTGGACGTGGGGTACCAAGTACGTACGTATCTAGGGTGTTTTGAGGGCCTGTACCCTGTCTAGACTCTCCTGCATGCCCTCAATGTTCCGACGGTGCCTTGGATGTCCTTGAGGACGGGGCCCTAGGCATTGGATAAGTAGGATATCCAACATCAGCCCCCTCAGTCAGCGTGAGCAAAAGCCGCAATGGAAGTCCACTAATCCATCAGGGAATTCCATGATCTTAAGCTTATAGTGGAGGCATCTCACGAGATCTGGCAGCCTGTCTTGGTCAAGATACGAACCCTTCAAGGCGTGCCAAAGTCTGACATGGAAGTCGGCACGCAGATAGTCACACAGTTCAAATCAGTTGTTGATGTCAAAAGTTCAAAGTTTGGATTCTGAGATTCGGATTCAAGAAAGAAGATGTCGGTACGTATCTTGGAGTACCCCTGTACCCACGGATCTTGTACCCTGTACCTTGATCTCCTCCACAGCTAACACCACCTGGGCAGTGACCAGTGACCACGGCCCACGGTCCCATGGTCCACAGACTCCGTCACTCCATCCTCGACGTCGTCCCGCCAGGGTTTCTCATCCTTCGAGCATCCCAAGCTGGGCCAAGCCTCCCTCATCCCTCACCCCATTCCATTCCGCCCTTTTTCTTCTTCCCAACCAGCTGGCTGCTGCGCTACTGCTGTCCGCTTTCCGCTCTTTTATCTCACTGTTCACGAAGCCGATATTCTGCTAGGTAGCTGGCTGGCCTTCGCCCTCGTTCTCGGCATCCTTCCATGGCCGCATCGGGGTCTCCATCCCGCGTCTTGAAATTTCAATTTCCCGTCTCGCCAGAAAGCATCGTCATTTCCTCTCAACTCCTCCAAGGCTCCAAAGACACAGAGGAACTTTGGCTTGCGTCGTCAAATTACATTTGCTTCCTTCGCTCGCGGCATTTCGTCCGAAGCGGGTACCTGCTGTTGCCAGACATGGAAGCGAGGCGCCGAGGGGCTGTACCATGCTTCTCAGTCCGTTCTCACTTTTGGTCGTCTGCTGCTCTGCTCTGCTCTGCTCTGCTCTGCTCCCAGACGGTCGGTGAACTGATGCATATTACATAGCCTATCTATCCGTACCTTACCTCAAGTGATCCCTCACACTCAAAGAAGAGTACTCCTCCGTACCTACATCCGTACGGCAAGGTCCCCGGCATTCGGGGCCGTGCTGTGCATCAAACGATGAGCTGCCAATGCCATTATCCGTACTACTAGTCTGAGATACCTACCCACAGATACGGGTCACTCTCATACTGGCGTAACTGGGTTTAATTCTGCTGCCTCAGCCGCCCTCCACAGTCTCGGCCTCGCCTCACACCTCGCGCCTCACGCCTCACACTGCACGCCTCTCCCCTTCTGCGCTCTCGAGTCTCACACTCACTCTCACTCACGCAGCCCTTTCTTTGCCCATCACTGTTCACATCACCAAACACCAGAAACCGATGCAGGTGGCAGCTAACCCTCGCCCCCCCCCCCCCCCGGGCCCCTCTATCTTAGCCTCCTTGCCCCATCCCTCGGACACCCTGCGCTGGCTGGCTCTGCTTGCTTAGGTGCTTAGGAGCAGCTTAGGTCCTAGGTTCCTCCTAGACGGGGGGCCTGTACCGGGCGGTGTCTTGCTTGTGTTCCGCCACAAACCTCCCCTCCTCCTTCCAATCCCTTCGGGAGCCACTTCTCGCCCCGCGCTCGCCTTTCAAACGCCTCGACTTACTAGGTATCATACACAGAATTTCCATTCGAAGTGGCCTTGTTCCTGTATCTTACTTCGCTTTTCTATACGCTATACGCTCAGAACAAGACTAAAGTAAACATCCGCTTACATTGGAGGGACGATGAACCGCAGCATCTGATCTGACTACATACATCTCTCATTGTCCACCCATCCATCCATCCATCCATCCATCCATCGCACACCTACACGAAATCTGTTGGTCTCATCAAATCCACACCACCTCATTCTTTGCCCATTATTGCAGAACATCACACATACATCCACACACACATCCCTTTGACACTAGCGTCCGAGCCCAAGCTCGGCCCCGTACATACGGATACTGGCACCGCATCATACTGCCATACATCAGCATTCATCCGACTCTATCTCCGCTTTGTCCTACTTTCACCCTAGCCCAGACCGCCGTCGAATCTAGGGCATCCACTCTCCAGTCCGCCTCCCGTTCCTCATATCAACCACGGACGTCCCTTCCCCCCTTTCATCATGGGCACCATTTGGAGAACAGAACCTATCCCACCTCACCTATTTGACGATATGGCGTCGAGTTCAAGCCGGAAGCCTCAGATCTTCGTCCACTTCGAATTTGGTGTCTCATTCTCACCCAGACATGCACCCAACCAACACTCCGTCACGTACGCCTCTCGTGGTTTCCGTGATCGCGCCCAATTTCCCAGACAAGTCCCACCAACAAATACAAATTATCTAGCAGAGCCCTCACACTCAGCCCATCAACATCAACCTCAACATCATCATCAACCCGCACGATCTTCACCACCCATCCAAGAATACTACGCACCTCAAGCGCAACCACCCATGCCGCCACACTATGAAGTCAGCAGACAATCTCGACAAGAGAGTCGGTCGAGCTCCTCACACGAACGAGGCAGCTCAGCCCCGCCGCCATGGAACGACAGCCCCTGGGACGCCGAACCGGATGCTCTGGGAAGCTCAGCGCTGCCGCGTCAACGACCCCGGGCTCAGAACGCCCCCGACTACTGGAAAGCGTTGCCCGAAGTCCCGTCACGTTTCCGCCTGGGCGAGGACGAGATGCCGTGGTCGGCCTCATCGTGGCCAGGCGAGTTCGGCATGCCCGACGAGTCCGAGGTCAACGACTACTCTTCCGAGCTGTCCATGAAGTTCCGCGACGTCTCCCTCACCAACGCCACGCCGGTGGCCCGCGAGAGAGGGGACGACGGGCGGAGACATGACCTTGAGGCGCTCTCCGCGGCAATGGTCACCGTCGACAACGGCTTTGAGAACCAGTGGTGGTACCAGGGCGAGCGACAGCAGATCAATGCGCCGGGGGTGGTGGCTGGCGACTTACACACGACGACGACGACGGCGACTGCTGAGGCGGTGGTGCCTCCTCCTCAGACCCCTGTGTACCACCACCAGCAGCTCGGGGGCTATGACACGAGGGAGTCGATGGGGTGGGTGACTGCCCAGGGCGGGGATTCCCACACGAGCATGATGAGCGCTACGATTTACAACCCGAGTGTCTTGGTGTCACCCATGTCGGAATACGCGAGCCCCCGCCTTCACCGGTCGATGACTACGAGGTCCGAGGAGCTCTTCTTTTATAGCTAAAAAGGATGATTCATTCGAGCATGAAATGTTTCAAAGCATGGCGTACAGGTTTATCTTATTAATGGCGGTGTTTTTGGATCACTGAGATCCAGGAGTACATTTGGGATTCACCGTGGTTTGGTCTGGATAGACTAGCTTATCTTGGTTGGATATGGAGTTTTCTGTTTAGTTGGAGCTTTCTCGCCGAAGGATATATCCAATACGTGCCCAATTTCTTGATGACAAGAAGGGCCCTGATTCGAGGGAGAGAAGCGTGGGCTTTCTTCCCCCTCGACCGAAAAAAATAATTTTTTTACCCCATTGGCGTTCCGCCCCTGTTACCATGTTTCCCATCCAAGAACAATCCCCCCATCCTGAGACTCTTTGTTACAAACCTGAACACGGGGAGCACAAACAGCCAAGACAGACCCAAGGCGATTCAACACACAAAGCATGACTTGTTTTTAGGCAAGAAGGCTACGAATCAGAAAACAACAAAACAACACAAAAATCATGTTTTGTCCAGTTGGATATACAGCAGGCCAGGATAATCAACCAGTCTTGTTGTTGGGTGGGTGTATTTGAGAAACAACCTTGGAAAAGTAGCAACGCCCACCCGCGTCACCCCAAGAAACAACATCCCTTTCATCCATTAGCATGATTTTCATTTTTTCCAGTTTCCGGATTTTCGCACCGGGATTCCCTCCCATATCAAGCTTGTTAAAAACAGGGCCCTTGTCTCCCTTTGATATGTTCTACGTGATCATGTTTAGGTGGGAACACATATTGATGTTGGCTTGATAGCAGCGGGGTTTCGCGCGCATGATCCAGCCCGCCGGTTGTGTCAAGTATTTCCGGCATGCTTCTTTTCGCGGGGACATTCCTTCTAGCTTGAATAAAAACACGGCGGTATTCTCGTCAAGGATTTCAATTGATACCGAACTTGAATGTTTGAATGAGAACAAGATTAGGTTTGAGCGGGGGTATTCCGGGGCAGAAGCGGGAAACGGCGCGCGCGGGAGTAACGTCGAGGATTAATTCCGTTAATGCGCCTGCGTGGGGTGAAGGTGATGGGATAACACATTTCATGTGCAGGTGAACATGCTATTTTGTTTGCCGCTTTCCTTTCTTTCTATTTTTGCGAGTTTCTGTGTATGTACGGATATAGGGTACGGTTGATAAATGCCCGCCGGCGGGTTGCTTAGGTGGGAACCCTCCGGTCTTCTGGGAAACGGGGGGTAGGCGATGCTAAAGCACATCTTCATGGAGATTACTGACGGTGAGGCGTGTATAGTCGTACCGAGGCGTGTTGATACAAGTAAAGCCTTTCCTCGATTTGTTGCTTTCCGCATGTCACGGACCGGAAGGCGGAAGAGAAGACTGCTCACTATCTTCCGCAATGGCAGAGACTGAGCTAGCGGTGCTTCTATTCACTACTCCTCGGTTCAGAGTGATGCAATAATCAGAAGCAGACCAAGCATCAACGTGGATCATTTCTCATGGGAAGCTGACGGTCTCTAGGCTTCATGCCCATCTGTCTGTCTGCCTGCCTCATCGATTCATGTGTCCTGCGTCTCCTGGGCCAACGGCAAGATTCCCGGAACCACACCTGCTGCCTGCGATGCCTCATCCTATTTTATTCTGAGGGCAGCATCCGCGTTGGGCCAGCACGCTAGAGCGAAGTTCACGGAGAGGGGCTTAGCTAGATGGTCTGCGTAGACTAGATAGACACCCACGGTGCGGTTGCTATGCACTGAAGACCCGCAGCCCAGGTCCAACTCGAGTTTGATGGGGACTGGCCCAAAAATAAAAGGGAATACAAGTCACGACTCTTGGCTGCTGCCCTTCTTTCCTATGTAACGTTCCACCCCTGGATTGCGGCATGATATGGGCCATCAGCGATGTTTCTTGCGGGATGAGTAAGTTCCGCCGGTGGCTGTGGACGTCTGCCTTAGCTCCGAGAACATCTCCATCTCTTTGAAATGTGCCCGTCGAAGAAGCTTTAGGCTGAAGGTGTGGCTTTCCCCTGTATCTGTGGGACTTTGGCCACATTCTCCGTCTAGCGGTGCCTCACCCAGGAAAGATCTTGGGAGAGTTTTGAAAAAGAGCAATCCACGACGGTACCACGTCCGTCTCATCTCACCGTGCATCGTTTATTTCTCTCGGCATAGGAGCGACCCCATTGACGCGGCCTGCTTTACGTTTATGTGGATGGCAGAGAGTATCCACCCTTGGCGGCATCCGCGGTTCTTGCTGGAAAAAGACTGAATGCCCAATCTGTAGACCGGTTCCAATCCATCCTAGCGACTATGAAATCCATCCCGTCCAATGTTGTACCGATCCTTCATCGAGTATCCACATAGGAAGCGGGTAGTTACTGGACATGAGATTACCTTTCCATGGGAGGGCCTTAATTCCAGAGGTGGTGTGGTTGATGAATGGCATCAGATCTTGACTCTTTGGAAGCCCAGAGAGGTCAATCGTTGTCCTCAGATAGACAGACAAAATATCCTATGAATCAGTCTCTCCGATGACGATGTCTTTGCGTGTTCGGTCTGCTATGGTGGGTGGGCGAGCACTGAGATTTCTCAAGTTATGGATGAGCCAGCGAGCATTTGTATCCTCATTCTTGACTGACATCTTAAAGTCTTGTATTCTAGAGGAACCTATGCTGTTGACTTAGCTTGAGAAGTAATACTGTGAAGGATTCATTCAGAAGAAAATTAGACCCTGTCAGTTGGTGACGGAGACCTTTGCCAGGGTCAGTGGAAGAGTATTTCCTCGGCTGAAGTTGGAACAAGCGAGCATGTACTGCCACATTGTGCAAAGTTCTTCCAAATGGCCCATGGACCTCTTAAAGGCCTCATCTACACCTCTCTTGTCTTTGATTGACAGTCATCTACCTGATTTTCATGATTGAATAATGAGGACAGCATGCTTGCCATGAGGCCTGTATCCCCTACCTACTCTCCCTATGTTGACCATATCCACCATTGAAAATGCTAGCCATATGGAAAGAGGGTTCTCAAATCAGGCTCCAACATTGAGGAACGGGTCGGAATGGGTGGTGACAAGCGACCTCAGGGGGTAGATAGTACGACGTCAAGCGGCCAAAGAAGATCAATCTAGTTCGAGGACGCCACAGCGACTTTTTTCTCGTGCGCATCGTTTGGAAAACGTTGGGCTACTCTTGGATCATGAGCTCTTCCCCTCCCCTTGCATCTGTCCTGATCATAGGGTAAAGACTTGGTGCCCCCCCCCGGAAACCCGCATCGACATCTCGAGGCTTTTGAGGGCAGCCTAGTTTCCCTTTGAGAGGCATGGATATCACGATTCTGGGGCGGTGTTATTGGGCCTCGGTTTGGGTCTGTACTACATGCCTTTTTGAGGCTCGAATACCGGCCCAGGATTCAAGCTTTCGGGGTGGGCTTTATGCCAAGTTGCAAAGAAAGACGAATCAAAGCGCCCGGGTAGCTCCAGCAAGACCAGGCAGCCTCAATGTGTTGAATCCCCGAGGCCGCGGCGATATAGCCAGGCCCTTGTCAGTATTATGAAGTCCAAATCATAGGAAACTCAAAGTAGAAAGATTCACTTGAGCCATGTACGGGAACTTGACGCGTCATGCACCCCAGTACTCCAGTGAAAGAAGTGGTTATTACTCAGCGACAAAGCCACTCAATAATGTGTTGAGCATAGGTCTTTTCCTTCGGCAGAAGAGCTGGTGCTTTCTGAGGCACTTCCAGAGCAAGAATCATGAGGAGGAATTTGCAGGGAGCTCATACAGCTTCTCAGTTAGTTTTGTCCGACTTGCATCCCTCCTGCAAGTTGTGTTTCTGTAGATGCCAGCCAGTGCAACCTCTTCCCGACAATGTCGGCGGCATGTAACCACGGAATCATGGTTATAATCCTTGTCCTTGACTGCCGAGTTGAGCCTTCACGGGGAGACTCATCAAGCCGGTTCATCTCCACAGACCCTCAGTCTGGTTTGCCGGCCGGATCAGGCTTCAATGTAGAGAACTCGAGACCCCTCCCCCATACCGCCTCTGACATGTGGCGTTCAGCTGATATCCCGACAGGCAATGATTCGACAATACAAAGACTCTCGGCAATAAAAGGGGTGCGTGGTTTTGTGGTCGCAAGTCGGGGGAGTGGATGGAGGGGAAAATTAATTCTGCTGCCTGGAGGACGGACGGATATACCGCGCCGGGAATTGGGGACGACGTGGTGGACGCTAGTGCATGTCGAACGATAGTCGGACCGTCTTTTTAAGATCTACTGCACTCAAGACGGGTCACTGATCCTACGGTAAAAGTAATTCGGTTTCGTGGACTTGAGGGAAAGGGGTTGCTTGTTTGGTTGGTTCTTAGTGCCGACGATGGTTCGAACATGTGCTTGAGCAAGGTTGGTGATCCTGCGAAGATGCGGGAAGGAAGCGGTAATGGGTCTAATTTGGGCTACTTAAAATACTCTTTGAGATTTTACAATGGTTTGGCTAAGTGGTAGGCTCCATATGTTGTTCGAGAACATAGTTGACTGGTCCACAACGGACTTCACCTCCGAAAGGGGGCTTGAGAACAGCAATTCTCGTCTCGGGTAGTTCGAATCCTCTTATTCTAACCTCAATACGCCGGCTTTATACATCTCCGGAGTCAAACTACCTATTCTTACCCAAAAATACATCTTCTATTGTAACCTCCATCGTCTACACCCCCTTTACCCAATAACCTTCTCCATAGCCTCAACATCCATCTTAACCCTCGGCTCCATCTGCATCGGCACGACCATGCCACCCGCAGCCAGCGCACCGCTCGCCGCCGCCGTTGCAACAGCCTTGACCATATTCCCACAGTCACCCACGGCATAGACCCCAGAAACGCTCGTCTCCCCAAAAGGGGCAGCCGTCTTGATATCCCCGTTCTCCGCCGTCTCCAGCCCAAGCTGCTCCACAAAGGGGCCATTGGGCCTCGTAAACGGCGCATGAGCGAGAAAGCCCTCTGTGATTTCTTCTCCTTCTTCCCCGTCCTTTCCACCGAGTGTGAGCGTCACGCTGGTGCTGTGCTCTCCACCGCCAGCCATGCGCATCGATGTGATTTTCCGTGTGTCAATGACAAAAGGGTTATTCGTCATGGCACTAATTTCTGAAGCGAGAGCCTCGTTGCCGTGCGTGTATATCGTCACCTTCTTCCCCAGTGGCCGAGCCATGTACGCGATATGCGTCGCCATCTTAACGCTCCCCGTCAACCCGAACGCCAGGACACCCACCCTCTCCGCCCCGCGCTCCTCGAAGCCGTGGCAAAAGAGGCAGTGGAAGATGCCGTAGCCCCAACAGTCCGCGTATCCTGTGATGTCTGGAGAAATATCCGTGACGCCGGTAGCCAGGACCAAACGCCGTCCGAACCATGCCTTGCCATGCTTATCCTCGGCCCTAAAGAGCCCGTCCTTGACTTTGGTAGTCTTGACGACCTCGACGCCGTCGGCGAAAGTCACAGTCTCGGCGTAGCGGGCCCTGAGGTCCTCTCGTGCCTTGGCGCGGAAGACGGGGGGCGGGACGTGGTCGAAGCCGAGGACGTTGTGCATGTTGCTTGCGCGAGCGTTGCGGTAGAGATTCGAGTCGAAGAGGACTGTGGTGTAGAGCTGGCGGGAGAGGGCCGTTGCTGTGGCGAGGCCTGCTGGGCCTGCGCCTATGACGAGGACGTCGTGGAGGGCTGGGGTGGACATATTGGATGTGATGACGTTTGTTGTTAGCGGGAGTGCTTTGAAGAGAGGTTTGTAAAGGGTGTTCATGTAAGTTGTAGTATGGCTGTCATATAGCGTAAGCTTGGAGAATTGGGTTGCGTGTATTCGATGCGGTTGTGATATTTCCTGCTATTATTGAGGGTCTTTTGTCGTCTTATATGCTCTTCCACGTGAAAAACGGGCGTACCGGCGTGAGGCGCGGCCTTGCGGGATGTCTCCGAGGCCGTGAAATGTTGCCGAGAAGATCGGATCCGAAGTGGGGCGGTCTGGCCGGGCAAGAGAAATGTCTCCGAGAAAAGGCGCCGAGTGATGAGCGAGCAAGTTTCAGACCCAGAGGCTTGCCATGACTCATTCTTGGGAAAACTAATTACATATCACACATGAATTTGAAATGTTCTCAATAATAGTTGCTGAACGAATGGTTCATGTGCCGTACCTGTCATCATGTTGTCAATCGACTGTGGTAGAACTAGCCCTGGGGAGGAAAGGCAACAAACAATTCACTCCCCGAAGCCTGTGGCTTATGATTTGATTGAAACGTTTGGTAGGATTCATAACTTGAGCTATATGAAATTGTATTCCGTACTATAGGTCGTGAGAAACGGAACGAGGTTCGGTCCCATGGCGTATCTCGTAACCGCTGCTCTTACGATCACCTCCTCGTCCAAATGAAGAAACAGTGAGATTCGACTCTGAAGAATAAGCTAATGTGAGAATTTAGATATGTAGAACAGGAGAGGTCGGATTTTCGTCATCAACTCTTGAGCGAAGTTGATGAGTTGTTATCTAAATTCTGGTTGTAAAAGAACACGTAACCACAACAACGAAAACGAAAGAAAAAAACACAAACCATCCCAAAAACATATGAATGAGCAAGTCTTCAACTAAGAAAGAAAGTGCAAAAAGTGCAAAAGAGAGTAGCCAGAGCGGGGAGTCGAACTCATGGGGTCGAGGTCCATCTCCTTAGAGATATGTGGAAATCCCCCGTCCCCAGCTGAGTGTTCCACCACTGGGCTACAGCGCCCGGGGGAGTTGGACCCCCGTTTGCCTGGTGGAAGGGAGAGAGTATGCTGGCAATAAAGGCTGGCTCGTTTGACGTATGGTTGTGACCTTGAGGGTTGAGGAGGTTGATGGGTGAAAGTGAGGCTGTTCGTGAGAATAGAGTTGGGGGGTGGCTTGGTTTTGGTCGAGATGGCGCTGCGGCGGCACGGGTTTTCGGCGTTGAGGGGATCAAACTTGCTCGAGAAAGAAGTGGAGGATTCATTTTATGGGTGCCGGCTGGTTTTTCTCGAGGCTGCTAATTGATTTGATTGTGACCGGAAACTTGATAAGGGGAAAGGGGGGCTCTGTCCTGCTTCATTCGACTATTCAACTGCTAACGAGCATAGTTCATTCCTACCAAATCATCGCAAATCCATTCTCACTCTTTCCTCACCGAAGAAGCGATAACCATCTTCCTATCCAACCCTCCAGCTTTCCCAGAAGCCTCCTCCGGAATATGACTGACCTCCTCGTTCTCTATGTAGATAAACTTCCCCTCGCCGCACCCAGCATCTCGGAACCAGCCCCTGAAAAGCTCTTCGCTGAAAACCAGGTGCCGATTCGTAGTTTTGAGAACCTCGTGCTGGTGAACCTCATGCTCATGAACATCGTGCTCATGAGCCTTGCCCCCATGCTGTTCAAACCCTACCTCCCCTTTGCCTTCCTTCCCCTTTTCGAGCACCCCACCCTCAACCTCCGACCCCGTAGCTTTATAATCAACCCCCTCGACAGCAATCACCACCCCACCAGGCCTCACCCTCTTCGCAAGCAGCTTCAACATCCCACGCGGATCATCAAGGTGATGAAGCGCCATGGATATAATAACCACATCAAACCCCCCCTCCGCAGCCAGCTCTCCATTTGTAGCCAAGTCGCCCGCGACAGCGTGGGCCTGCTCTGGAGAGTATCCCAGCCGCGCCGCGCAGTCGTTGTAGCGCTGTACAATGGCCGGTGCGATGTCGATGCCGAGGATGGTGTCGACATAGGGGCTGAGTGCCTGTGGTTATGCATTGTCTTGTCAGAGGGTACTGTAGCTGAGGGAGGGATATGTAGGACGCAGGCGTACAAGATACTTACCCAGGAAGCACCGCCAGAGGCGCAAGCGTAGTCTAAAAGTCGGACGGGGTTCGACGACGGATCTGTATCGCGGGACCGGAGACCTAGGTTTGGGGCTTGGGCGCGGAGGAAGCGGGTGAGTTGCTCAGAGAAGACCTTGATCCAGTCTTGTTCCAGGAAGGTGTCCGCGTTCGCACTACGGTCATATCCATGTCAGCTTCAGGACTTGAGAGAATGGGTTACAATTTAGAGAAAATCGGGAATGACAGACTCCCAGAAGACGCGGTTGAGTTCGGCTAGAGAGGCTGTCTTGGATTCGGTCGCGGTCATGATTGCAACTATAGATATCTGATGGCTTTGTATTTCGTCTATATTTGGTGCTTAAAAGATCTATAGTAGTCGCTTCAGCGATCTTGGGTGTCTTTATATAATCGACACCATTTTCAGCTCGTCCAGTTCGTTATCCTGTGATTGCGTTGTGTGATTGCGTGGTCGTCTGTGATGCCGGAGAGTATTCGGCAACTTTTTCCATCAAGGTGCACGCTCAGGCGGCAACATTGCGGTGACATCTAGGACACCAAATGACAGACCGCCGCACGGTTTCCAGAACAGTGGAGAATAACTAATTCCTCACCCTGTAAGTATATCAATGTCGTGATTCCTCACATGACTTGTCCCGCGGGCTCAATGACAGTGGCTGGTCGCCTTCGGCCCTCGCCCATCTCATACATGGCCCACTCGTACACTGCCCACTGCACGGCGTTGACGACGAAGGCGCGCACGCTGCAGACCGTAAGACCGCGGAAGAAGACCCGCATCCCGCCCTCGCGGTAAGCCTCTCTCGCAACCTGCATTGCGCCTGCACGCTTCGCCGGCTGCTGTTGTTGCTGCTGCTGCGACAGCCCTTGTGCCGCGAGCAAAGGTGACCTCTCGAGTGATTGCGCCTGTGCCTGAAACGCCTGCGTCTGGACGCGGGTCTTGATGACGTCGAGTGGGAAGATGCTCACCCACGTCACAATACCCGCGAGACCACCGCAAAGCAACACCTTGGCAGCCTCCTCCTTCAGATTCGTCTCCTTCACGCCGTCGCCCCCAACACCCATCCACCGCGTGGTGATCTCATATGACCAAAAGTAAAACCCGTACCCGACGCTATCCCGCAGCGCAGTCACCACGCCACCAAAGTAGAGACCCCTGATTCCCTCGGCGCGCCAGACGTCCTTGGTGATGGCCCAGCTCGAGGCGGGCGGGGAGGAGAGCTGGGCGCGGCACTTGATCAGCTCGGTCGGGGTGCTCACGACCCAGGTGGCGAGGCCGCCGACGGCGCCGGCGAGCCAGGTCGTCCAGAGGCTGGACTGGACGTCGAGGGCGCGGTTGAGGGCGGCCTCTGTGCGGTTGTAGGAGACGAAGAGGAGGGCGTTGAGGGCGCCGTAGCCTAGGATCGGGGCGGCGGAGCCGGTGACGAGGGAGGCGGGGGATTCGAAGTGGCGGAGGTAGGATGCCGCTGCGGCCGCGGTGGGGCTCGGGAGCGGGAGCGGGGAGGAGGCGGAGGGGAGGGGTGTCGAGGGGGCGGTTGCGGGACGGGCTTGGAGGCGGACTTTGAGGAGGTCGAGGGGGTTGCCGATGATGATGCCTACGGCGCCGCTTATGTAGCCGGCCCAGAAGTCGGCGGACATTGTGGGCGGCTGGCTGGGATAGGATCGTCTTGTTGCGAGGCAGCAGTGAAGTAGTGATCCTAGCTAGTAGAAGGTGTTCGAGTACGTTAGGAATCGCGGTATTGAAGGCGGTTGTCAGGGTCGAGGTAGTGGTTGACTTTGGCTTGGGCGACGGCGATTCCTGTGCATATGCCGAGGTAAGTGAGCATCCATCCGCCAGAAGCTAGAGCCCAGAAGCGGGCATTCTTGACGGGGTTCGGGTTCGGACTGCGGACGCGGGAGAGGTACTGATAATGTGCGTAGTGGGTGAGGACGGTGCCGCCGAGGATGGAGGGCCAGTTGTCGACGATCCAGAAGATGCGGGCAGAAGGTGGACGGAGCGGGGTCCCGGGGGAGGAGGACGAGGAGGGGTGGGAGGGGACGGCCATTATGGAGTCGGTTAGGTAGGTAATGGAGAGATAGAGCGAGAGTGAGGGAGAGCCGTGCTTTGTTTCGTTTGAGACGGGGAACCGAGGGAAGCTTGGTGAGAGAAAGCGGAGAGGTGCCGGGGGACCGGGGGTCTTGGGATCCACCCAGACTAGAGACGTTGCGGGCGAGCGTCTCCGTACGAATAGACGACAAGGTGGTGGTGGTGGTAGTGTTTGATGCGGAGCATGTGAAGATGGAGCTGTCGTCAGGCGTGGGGAACCAAATGTCGATGACTCGATATGCAGCTATGAAGTCAATTGAGTTTTGGACCAAGTCAATTGAAAACAGTCAGCGTACCTTGAGACAAGAGTGTGCCCGGCGCAAGAAAACGTTGGAATGTGTGGCTTGCGCTGGTTGTGTCGTGTTGAAGATTTCGAGTTGGGGGCCGCAGAAGTGAGGTGACCGGCGACTGCATGCGACAGGCCCCAACCGTCTGGCCCAATGTCTCACCTGATTTTGGGTGTCAGCAGGTACCCTCGAACGCTCCTACTGTGGGGGTCACCTTCCCACTCACCGACGAGAAAGCACTTCGGTGAGCCTCGGTGTAATGCTCACCGAAGTACCCACGAATTCAACATTGCTCACTTCTTGGTTCATTGAACAATGGCCATTCTCTATCTTCAGGATACATCTGACCAGAAAACTGCAATTCATCCTAACAAGATGCAAATTATGTTATAAAAAATAAAAATGTAAAAAAAGTATCAACCAAAGATGCCGTCACTGGATGCAGACATCTTCCCAAGACACATCCTCACCAACAGCCTCCCCGTGCATGATGCCGTGCACGTAAGCCTCCCCAATCAACCGATAGCTAAATGGCCCAGAAATAGAAGAAACCGGCAGTTCTCGAAGCGCAAGCGGTGACGGACAGCCAGCCACCACCCAAATCCCATCCCCTTCTTGCGCAGATTGGCCTCCAAGCCCCATGTGGCTACTGTCCGTCAGGAATGGCCGCCTCTCCCAGAGCGTTTCAAACGCGAGATTCACATACACCTGGCAAGTGTGCTTGAAGCGATCAAACAGGCCCTCAACTTGCTCCTGCTTCTCGCATTCCTTGAGCTGCTTTAGATACCCCATAATCACATCACACGAGGGCACCGTCTTGCTGACATCCGACGCGGCGAGTCTCTTGATGCTATCTAGACGGCTGATGTGTTCTTCAATATCGGCGCCTTTCTTCATCGCGCAGTACACTTCCCACACAACGTGGTCTGCGATCCAGGAATGGAACGCCTTTTGGAGGCTATCGGGGGCGGGGTGCCTCAACGCGTCTCTATCGCCGATCAATGTCCTCCAGAATGCTTCTACTCGGCACTGCCCTGTCGGCTGATAGACGGGATCACATTGCAAGAGGAAGTCGGCCCACTGCGTGAAGCTTCCGTTCGTGGCTAGTTCCGAGTATACCTCTCCGACTAAAGAGATAGTGCCGACGCACAAGCCCTTGACGTGGAGAAGCCTGTCATCAACGACGCGGTAGTTCGTTGGCATGGAACGACAGGCGTCAAAGTAGGGAATCTCGGCGGGCCATCTCATCGCCAGAAGGGCAGACGGCCCGTTTGCGGAGAAATCGGGCACCCAGGACGGCAGACCTTCAATTTTATTGACCGAGCCATCGGCGACCGCCGTCAGGAGAGTCAGATTGTTGCACTCTTCCATGATGAAGACTGCCGTATCGGTGTATATGCTGGTAGGCGTGCAGTGTCTGCGGTAGTTGGCCTCCAACTCCGTCCTTGTGCGGCCACTAAGGTCCAAGAGAAGATTGAGGATGCCCAGCAAGCCAAAAACCTGGTCTCTTGGGTCAGTGGCCTCCACTCCGACCGTCAGCCGTAGCATCAGGAATAACAGCGCACCGGCTGTCTTGGTTCTGCTGCTTCCCCCTGTGCAGGCGAGCGGGCCGACGATGTGATCTAGCGTGGTGCTGTCCCACAAATCGAGGATGTCGTGTCTACATCTCTGAATTGCAACGATGCCCGACGAGTTGCTACCGATCTTGACGTCCTTGATAGTAGGGTTGTTATCGTACAAGACCTCTGACAATTGCTCGTAGAGACGGCTTTCGTACAAAAAGTCGGAGCAATACGCCACAGTCTCCCACGGAATAACATCGTTGCCCCAAAGAATACATGCGTCTTTTGACAAGGCCACCTCCTGAACGACCCAAACACGATTGAACCACTTGCGTTCGAAGAAGGCGACGAATGCGTACCACACATCATCCGGAACATGTAGTAAGCCATATCTGCTCAAAGCATCGTCGTCAAAGAAGGAGTTCTCTTGGTCGAAGCTGAAGTTCCGCTGGGTATTTTCGGCCATTGTATGAACCAAACGGGATACCTCAGTTGGGTGGTGCTCTTCAGTGACGGAGCCTAGCCATATGTCGACGCGGGTAGCTTTTTTGTAGATACGATCCATGATGCCGACTTGCATGCTGCGCTCGATATCGTCTGCCTGGTTGATGCTGATGGCGTCGACCCAGTACAGGTCGCAAGAGTTGTGCGCTCTGATCCAGCACAGTGAATCGTGTAGATTCGGAAACAATTCAAAGCTGCGGCCGTTGAGCATCACTGAGACTGTCGCGGGCTGCTGTTCGATTTGCTGAGAGGGCTCCTTTTCTGCGAGAGGCGATCCCCATGTGTACGAGAGCCCTCGGTAAGCTGGCAGGTCAGCAACGGCATGTTCCTCTAGTGAAAGCTGCAACGGTCCATCGTCAGTTGCTCCGCAGCCTAATATGCGCACAAGACGAATGGTCTCCTTGCCGATACGGTGACTGTATTCGAACTTTGCTATTCCGGACGACATAACTGCAGATGGGGAAGCATCCGATACAGCACTTGCTTTCTCCTCAACAGATAGAACGGGTTATAAGGGAACTCGAAAGCTTTCGAAGTCGCCAAGATGGGCGGAAGCCAAGCATCCTGGCTTAGTTAGCCACGTATGATCATGGTAGAATCGTCAGCTGTATCATTAGGACCAAGACTAAAACGACGCCAACTTTGGCTCTCACGCACGGCTTCACTGCGCCGTACTATTGGTCAATCATTGGAAATGATTTAGGAGCAAAAGATGCCACTTGACATTATACCTAGTGCTGACGAAGAATCAGTTCCGAGAAGAAGGATGACGCGCCAGACTGTCGCTGAGTGTCTCGTGAAGCTGTTCTTTATAACGTCGACAGGTTGGATGTAGAGGAGGAAGAGGAGGGAGTTGGGTGTAAGTGAGCACAGACAACCTAGAAGTGAGTGGGCCCCACCAGTGGAAGCCTTAGGTAAGCAGAAGTGGTGAGGTAAGCAGATTAAATTGATGGGCCCTGGTGCCTGATGCACGTGAAAGCGTGTTTGAGTGGCGACGCGGGTCGAGTCGCGCTTTGCCCCAAATCAACATCGGGCCCTCCGACCGGGAATATTGCTCTTATTCTTCTCCCTCCATCTTCATCCGCCACTTTTCTGCTGGTCTCTGCGAAGCCTTACTCCCGGGATTGCGCATTCACTGCACCCGCAGCATTACTTCACCACAAATCGCGGTTCAAAATGTACGCAACCCTAGTCCAATACCTCTCCAACTAACACGGCACTGTATTAACCCCTCCACAGGACTGTCAACGTCACCGCCACCCCGATCGCGAACAAGGAGAACGTGCCGTCTAAGCGATGGCCGACTCCGCAGTCCGTCGATAAGCTGTCAAGACCGTTCAAATGTCCTGGATCGGCAACGAGAACAGTCGCAACCGACAGACCGGCGCGAAAGAAGAGAAGGGTCGATTACAAGGGCGCTGATGGCGATACTGACGCCGACAAGCCCTACACAAATGCCGATCGCCTGGCTCTAGCGAACCGAGATGCGAACAGATTCCCCGTCTTCCAGGCCAAGGACAAGTCAACAGTATTCCGCAAGGCATTCTCAGTGCCTCTGATCAACAAGAATACCAGTGCCTATAACCCGAACCGACCTCCGCCAACCCTTGGCCTGCGCACGGGAGCACAATTCATTGCCAAGCCATTGCACGATCCCAGTGGCGAGTTTGCCATTGTACTATACGATCCGACCATCGACGATAAGCCCAAAGAGCCCGAAAAGAAGGAAGACAAGAAGGATGTCGAGGCCGAGACTAAGATCGACGCGCCTCTCGTCCACAAGAGTTTGGCGGAGATTCTTGGAATCAAGAAAAAGGTCGAAGGGGAGCACCCACGAGTTCCCGTTGTCATTGACCCACGATTGGCAAAGGTTCTCAGACCACATCAGGTTGAGGGTGTCAAGTTCATGTACAGATGCGTCACTGGCATGATTGAAGAGAAGGCCAATGGCTGCATCATGGCCGACGAGATGGGTCTCGGCAAGACCCTACAGTGCATCACTTTGCTCTGGACTCTCCTGAAGCAATCCCCGGATGCTGGAAAGAGCACGATTCAGAAGGCCATTGTTGCGTGCCCTTCCAGTTTGGTGCGCAATTGGGCCAACGAATTGGTCAAGTGGCTTGGTGCTGATGCCGTCACGCCCTTTGCAATCGACGGAAAGGCGTCAAAGGAAGAGCTTACGCGACAGCTGCGTCAGTGGGCTATTGCGAGCGGCAGATCAGTCACACGACCAGTCATTATCGTTTCTTACGAGACCCTTCGTCTCAACGTTGAGGAGTTGAAGCACACCAAGATCGGCCTTATGCTTTGCGATGAAGGCCATCGTCTCAAGAACGGAGACAGTCAGACTTTTAGTGCACTCAACAATTTGAATGTCACAAGACGAGTCATTCTGTCCGGAACGCCCATTCAGAACGATTTGTCCGAGTACTTCTCCTTGATCAGCTTCGCCAACCCGGATCTGCTTGGTACTCGGCTAGAGTTCCGCAAGAGATTCGAGCTTCCGATTCTCCGCGGACGTGACGCCGACGCACTCGAGTCAGAAAGGAAGAAGGGCGACGAGTGTCTGTCCGAGCTCTTGGGCATTGTCAACAAGTTTATCATTCGCCGCACCAACGATATCTTATCCAAGTACTTGCCCGTCAAGTATGAGCATGTCGTGTTCTGCAATCTTGCACCGTTCCAGCTCGATCTTTACAACTACTTCATCACCAGTCCGGACATCCAGGCACTTCTCCGTGGCAAGGGTAGTCAGCCCCTCAAAGCCATCAATATCCTCAAGAAACTCTGCAACCACCCGGATCTGCTCAATATCTCGGACGATTTGCCCGGTTCAGAGAACTGCTTCCCCGAAGACTATGTCCCGAAAGAGGCGCGTGGCAGAGATAGAGATATTAAGCCCTGGTACTCAGGCAAGATGCAAGTCCTCGACCGCATGTTGGCCCGTATCCGCCAGGACACAAACGACAAGATTGTACTTATCAGCAATTACACACAGACGCTTGACCTGTTTGAGAAGCTCTGCCGGAACCGGGCTTACGGCTGCCTGCGCCTCGACGGCACCATGAACGTTAATAAGCGCCAGAAGCTTGTTGACAAGTTCAACAACCCGGACGGAGATGAGTTTGTATTCCTCCTCAGTTCCAAGGCTGGTGGCTGTGGCCTCAACCTCATCGGCGCCAACCGCCTGGTCCTCTTTGACCCCGACTGGAATCCCGCCGCAGATCAACAGGCTCTCGCTCGTGTCTGGCGTGACGGGCAAAAGAAGGACTGCTTCGTCTACCGCTTCATCGCCACGGGAACCATTGAGGAAAAGATCTTCCAGCGCCAGTCCCACAAGCAATCGCTGTCCAGTTGCGTCGTCGACTCCGCCGAGGACGTTGAGCGGCACTTTTCGCTCGACAGTCTGCGCGAGCTGTTCCAGTACCGGCCCGGCACCAAATCTGACACGCACGACACGTTCAAATGTAAGCGGTGCAAGCCCGATGGCAGGCAGTATATGAAGTCGTCTGCCATGCTGTACGGCGACACGAGTACGTGGAACCACTTCGTGAATGAGGGGTTGAAGCCGATTCAGGATCTGTTGCTGAGGCAGGAGTGTGGGGAGCCGGAGGTGTCTGCTGTGTTCCAGTATATTTCTCATTAGAGCGTCGTCGTTTCCGACGGATGGTTACGGATATGCATTATGAACTTGTGGCTTATTTTCTGTTTGAAGAAGTCAACAGAGAGGAGGTGTTTGGAGTTGTATGGATTTGGGATGGCGACGGTGTTTGGGGGGCTTTGCTTGATACTGGACTTTATGAGAGGTCCATATCAATATTTCTACAAGAGCTAGATTTATTCACGTTTGAAGAAGACGTGATGGCATGTCGAGCGTTCCTTTTTTTTCATCATTTCAGACCAAATAAAAAACGATGGAGAAAATGTCATGGAATGTGATTGTTCGTTTCTTTCCTATCTTTCTATGTAATGCTCAATGCTGCGCGCAATCTACACTGAAATCATAAGGTTCTCTGACCTCAGTGAAATCTTGACGTGTGTCTATAGCTCGTCTCTAACATGCGTCTGTTCCGAGGGCGGCTCCTCCCAATTGCGGCTCTTTGTGTTCTTTTCCACCTCCTCTACGACAACGGGCTTCTGCTTGGCCTCGCCGTCGTCACCAACAACCACCTCGAGCTTCTCCTCCTTCTTTGGCGTCTCAGCCGGCAGACCCTTGCGCTTGCGATCGAGGGCGGCGATCTCGTCGTCGTAGACGGTCCACTCGGGTACCTGGCGCCTCGCACGATCGAGCTTTGGCTCCTTTGTCTGCGGGTTATTGCAGAGGTCAATCGTCTTGGCGACGCGCTGGCTCTCGTCGGAGCACCACGTCTCGCACCAAAGCCACTCCTGAGGCAGGCTGTGGATGGGGATCTGGAACTGCATGTGGTTGGGCAGATCCTGGTCGAGGTTGGCAAGACTGTTGGGGTCGGCGCTGAGGGAGTGGTAGGTCTGGCGGAGGCGGTCGCCCGCGGCGAGCTCGCGGAAGCGGCGGAGATCGACGACGTAGAGGGCCGAGATGTGGTAGGGCTGGCCGCGGAGGTAGTTTGCCCAGTAGCCCTGCTTCCAGAAGCGGAAGCCTTCCATCTCGGTACGGGAGTCGCACATGGGCGTGAAACCGTAGGGTTTGCCCTCGAGGTCGTGGTTGACGAGGGAGATCATGTCGGTGCGGACGATCTGGTCGGCGTCGACGAAGATGACCTTGTCGAGGGAGAGGGGGAAGAGCACATCGAGGAAGAGGATCTTGTAGCCCCAGATCTCACGCTGCTTCTCCTTTTGCTGACGCAGCCAGTGAGGCCACTTGAACGTCACCATCTCGTACTTGAATCCATATTCCTTTGCCATGTGCGGGATGAAATCCTTGAATGAGGGGGAGAGGAATTGCTCAATGAACCAGAACTTGACCGTGTGCTTGGTGTTCTTCATGACGCTGACCATCATGATGTTGAGCATGCGCTCGTAGAGATGGCCGCTGGCGACGGAGAAGATGTTGATCTCAGCGTGCTCCTCGTCAGACGCGGACTTCTTCTTGCCCAGGATGCCTCCGGCGAACTTGAGGCCGCGGCCGACGATGCTGTTGTCTTCGGGCTCGGCCAGCACGTCGGACTCTTCTTGGCCTGGCTTGCGTGACAGGCGAGGGTACAGAGTCGTGCCTTGGAAATCCATCAGCACCACCTCGGTGCCCTCGTCACCCGGCACAGGAGCCCATCCCTTTGCACCGATACTATCGATGGTGTAAATGTCGGTGCTCCTGCCCTCCTTGAGTTTGATGTTGTAAAAGCCTGGGTTCGCCTTGAATTGGAAGTATCCAAGGTTGGCCATGATGAGAGTATCGGCGAAGTGAGGCTCCTTCTCGGTGCCCAAAACGACCTGCGCACCGCGGGGAGGCTGAGACTGTCCCCCCTCACGAGAGTGCCCCTCAATAAGGATGCTCTCAAGCTCGTATGAGGCGTGCACGTTCGACTTGATGGAGCTAAGCTTGATGTTGTCCGGGTCGAAGGGCGAGACTTTGGGTGCAACGAGCCACGATGGGGGAACATCCATGCCGGCGTTAAGAAGAGCCTCGGAGGGCAAGCTCTTGAAGGATGCCTCAAGTGCGCGAACCTTGCCAGCTTCATCAAAGGTCGGCTCTGACTCAAGCACGTATCGGAAGAATCTCTTGACAGGCAGTTCGTCAATCTTGTCCTTGGGGTTAAGGAAGAGCTTTAGATACACGCCCTCCAGCTCAGAGACAACCTTGAGGATAGGCGCCCACCGCTGTGCCTGCTCACTGGCAGGGTTGAGAACACCAAC